CCAAAACACCCACTACAGTGCAGCACACTCATCTAGCCTACTTACATATGATATGAATATAGATTCAATTGATTGTTTGAATAATGTTTGCTGATGGGTTTTCTTTCAATTGGTTATCATTATAGCGCTTATTATAGTCATGTCTACATTTAGATTCCTTATTGAAACCTCTTTTTACTCTGAATAAATGCCTCACAACACCTGCATCAGAGGCCTCTCTTGTTGTGTGTTTGTACTTTTGTTCAAAAGAAATGCACACAAAAGACTGCTTATTAAATTGAATTGACAAGCGTCTGTGTGGGGGAGGATAAGACACCTGCAGAACAAAGAGCTGGTAGACAGGGGATGTTGTCTTTTGGGAATTTTGTCCAGGTGCTGAATTAGTATTGAGATGTCGTTATATAAATGAAGCCAAATAATTCAAACATGACTTTTATTCTAACAGTTCAACTTTACTGCAAGAGCTGAAACTTAATATTGTTTGTTTTATTGGTTACAAAGAGTTCAATTACCGTGCAACCTTTTTCAATAGGTATAATTGTCAACTCAATACGTAAAAAACAAACTTCTTCTTCTGTAGGCCTACATATATTTTTTTAAACACACAGATTCAGTCTGCTTTCTTTTCTTCAATTTCCTGTCACACAGCCTTGAATTTAATCAGTCAGAAGTCTTTTATTCATCTCATAGCGGGAACATGTACAATGTTACAAGAGACAGTTCAGACAAAAAGCAACATTGAATAAAGTAGAGGCAAACACACAATAATAAAGAATACTTACACTTTCAAAATAGTGAAAGAAGTTATAAAGTAATGAGGTATCAGGAGCTGAGCTGCAGTATGAGGAAAAATATGTTGTTGTTTTTTAACATTAAAGCATGTGAACATGTCACAGTAGAGACACACAATACGCATATGAAACGGAAAATTAGAACGTTCTCTTTAGATTCAAGATTCAAAAACTTTATTGTCATGTGCACAATACAGTCTAGATGTGGCATTGAAAATCCTAAATTGCTCCTCCAACAATGCAAAAAGAAATATATTGTATGATAGTGCAAAAAGAAAGAGAAAATAGAATAGTGCAAGATTGGCTTGCAAGACCAATGTGCAAGTAATGCAGATGAAAAATAAATACATTGTAAGATGTAAACAGACAAAAGGTTGTTTCTGTCATTTGATTTGAGGTCAAATCTCATAATTTGTGGTTGTGTCCCTCCCATCAGGGGTCTGTGCAGCAGGAGGGCCATGAGCTCCTGGTTCAGCTGGAACGAGCCGTACAGCCGGACCCCCCGGCGGGACATGGAGGAGGTGGTCAGCGACACCCTGTTGCTGGAGTTCAACTGGCAGCTGAAGGAGGCGGAGAGGCATCAGAGGGAGCGGGACAACGAGTACCGGCGGCTGCAGAGCGGCGTGGACTACAGCTGGCTGGCCAACACGCCCCGCTGCTCCTTCAACGTCAGCCCTGGGGAGAGCTTCGGCCTGGAGGAGCTCTGCTGCAGGGTGCCCCCCCCCTACTGCGGCCTGGTCATACTCAAGTAAGGAGGCACAACTGTAGCTTCATTATTATAACAGGGTGGCCAACTCATAACTAAGAAAATAACTAAGAAATATCAGGATTCATTTTAGCTGAAGCTGTCATCCAAAGTTACTTGAATACAGTTTAAAGGTCACCTATTATGCAAAATCCACTTTTCCATGTCTCTTCTACATCAACATGTGTCCCCTCTGTGTAAAGAGATTCTGAAAGTTTCAGGAAAAAAGATTCTCTCTTTTTGTCCTGATCCATTTATATAAAAACCTGTCTGAAAAGGAGCTGATCAGATTTTGGCCATTTTATGATGTCATAAAGATTTTTTATAACATAACATAACGTCAATATATTGTTTAACTTTTATGTCAGTTTTTTTGACACATAACTTTTTGTCCTCTATTATTACATCAGAGCTTTTCTTAAGGGTTATTCATTGTGGCTTGAATCCAAACCGTCCACTAAAATATATGAAACTTCTCTGTGGTCCCTCACATGAGTCATTTTTTTTTTTTATATCTCTGTTCTATAATTTGCAACAAAGATGTCCTGAGCTTGTAGGAGCATCTGTTCACAGAAAGCTGCCGAGTCCCAGGTGTCTTGTTAGAGGTCGGCAGGTTTTTGGGAAGCAGATTTACTGTGAGTGAGCAGCGAGGTGCTAAACGCTGAGTGGAAGTGTCACACACACACACACACACACACACACACACACACACACACACACACACACACACACACACACACACACACACACACACACAGTGTGCGTGTGATTTTAATTACTGCACAGGGGAGTCCTCTGTTAAAGTAATTAACCAAACGCTTTCTCTGACACTACATGAGGTACAGGGTTTTCCCAAATGCCATCCTGTCCTTAAAACCTCTCACTCTGTATCTGGAATCAACTTCCACAAAGTACACACATAAGTTGATGATAGTATTTTAGATAATAATAAATGAGAGATTAAGAATGGGAGAGGATGAATTAAGAAAAAAGTGGGAGGGTTATAGGGATTTCGGCTGAAAGCTTTCTCTTATTCTGAGTAGTTTTTATTGTGCTCTTCTTCCGTGACAACTATTTGAAGAAAATAAATAATGGTCAAAAACTATTCGTAGGAATTAAGTTAAAAGCTCCAGGAAAAGCTAGTAATTGGACCTTAAATACAGCTTGAACTCAGCTATACTGATGTGCCTGATGCTGTAGAGATGGCTTATATTTCCAAGTAAAAGCAGGAATGCAACTTTGAGTAATATATTAAAAAGATTAAAAACTTGCAACAAAGATTTGTAGGCTCATCGTTGTTTGCTGATGACCTTTCATGGTCAATCAATAAGTTCGATCTAGTCTATTCTAACGTTAATCCTCTACTTAAGGTCATACGGTCTATTATCCAGAGACTGACAGCAGGTTTTAGTCCTGTATCTTCTATGTTGACATTAAATATAATCAATTAAATCATAAATTGTACCTTAGTGCCATGTTTACCTAGCATTGGTAGCATTTTAATGATTCACTTTAAAGTATAATAACTCTGAATGTGTCTTCAGAGCTAACATTAGTACACAGTACAGCAGGCCAATCATCAGTTAACCTGAAGCACTTTCTGGAAAGCAAGTCCAAAGACAGCCGTCTATTTAAAGGCTTGTTATGGCTCAGGAGAAGAGGGGGAGGAGTAATTGGGTGAGTGTGCTGGTCACTCAGGTGGGGGTGATGACTGGGATCCAGGTTGCCTTTTACAACATTTGCCATCATTTGAATCATCTTGAGGTTCTTTCTTCAATTCACCTGCAGTGGTTTATTCTGCTAGAAATTAAACAGATCTTTAAAATATATTGATATTCAAGACCTTGTTGTCGTGTATTGTCTTCATGTTGATGTTCTATCCTTTTAACAGAACATATAAGAAGACTACATTGTGCTGATACTGCTTCACTTTTCTATTCTAACATTTTCAACCCTGGACTTTTATCATTCGGTATAGGCTTCTATTAGTTTTACTTTCCAGGAAGAGAGGGTGGAGAGTAAAACCAGATTGAATGTATATGGGGTTCCTAAATTAATTAAATGGGATTACTGAACCCTGATTATCACCTGTACAGAGATGTTGTAACAGGGCTTTAGTCCTGCTTTAAGGCCTCTGCTCGATGAAATGCACCAAAACGTTTTTCAGTTTGCATCCATTGTTGATTGCAGCTGCCCACGGCCGTGTCAGTTAGTTCATGTGGACATGGATTGAGAGGGACTGATTTTTATTAGATGGATTTGTGCTTTTTATATTTTCTCTACTTCTGATCAAATAATTTACAGCTTTTTTCGTCTGCCAATCAGTGGAGAAAAAAAGATTTAGCAAGGTTAACTTAACAAGGCTGAACAATGATATTTTACTCTTTGTTTCAACTCTGATCATACTGATGTATATCTGCGAGTGCGATTCAAATTGTGTTTGGTTGCACCTTTTAACACAAACAGTAATGTGCAACATCTTGAATAGTACTTCACTGTAGAAAGGTCAGGGAAAAAACTCGATGTTCAGGTGCTGTTGAGTTCTAGTTTTACACACAACAGTCTATTATAGGTAACATTAAACTGACAATTTGACCCTCCATCAACCAGCAGCGTGTGTTTTTCTCCTGCCCAGGTTCAGGGAGGCCATGCAGGCCAATGAGCCCGACGTGCAGGAGGTGTCCGGCCTGTTTCGCTCCGTCCTCCTGGAGACTCTGGACGAACTGAAGGAGGAGCAGGAGGCGCAGCGGCTTTCCAACCAGTGGAACAACAAGCGCGCCGTGAGCATGTCCCTCATGAACTTCAGGTCCCGCATCAAGATCAACCCGTTCGGCAGCACCGTGGGCCTGACCACCTCCGTGACCGACGGGACGGGGCTGAGCGACCTGAAGACGGTGTCCGAAGACGTGGAGCGAGCGCAGAGGACGTGGAGCATGCCTGACTTCAGACACAAAGGAGGCAGCAGCAGCAGTAAGGTCGTCTGAGGCGCTCACAGGACAGTGGTGGAGGTGGGACGCTTCAGTGGGACAGATGTTCACTTTGGACCAAGCGATGCAGGATAATTCCCACAATGCTCCCTGTCTTTGCAGTATGACACCAATCACCATTTCACCAATTCACACATTAAAGAGCAGGTGTTTTTCTCAGATTCTCTGCAACTCAACTTCACTTGAAACCGTTTTAACTCAGTGTAAAATAATCAGCTCCTACAGTGATGCGTTTTATATTTAGTATAAATTGAGAGCTATTTCGTGCAGGCCTATATGTATTCAATTTCAATGTCATTTAAAGGCTTTCTTGTCTCATACATGTTTCAGGAGCTTATTCAAAATGTTGTTTTATGCCACACGACACTAAATGGCTGCAGAGGTGAATGGTCCGTTCTGTCCGAATGTATGTTGCTTGAGATTTCTGTATGAATTGTATGTACATAACAAATGAATGCTAAAAGTCAATGCTCATCATTAACGTCATTCAGAGGCTGAGTCATGCTCTCCCTTTACAGACTGCTCACTGTTTTTCTTCCCCAACAGCACTCAAAGACTCGGCACAATCATTCAAGGTCAGCAAACTGAAAGCTTTTCTTCTGTTCTTCACCTGCAACAGGGCTTCAAATAAAAAGACTCAAATAAATGATCACTAAGTGTTACTAAAAAGTGAAATCTTTCCAGCCGTTTATTGCCGTTTCTTTTCTGTTTGTCACGCATCAAAATTCAACAGTACACAATAGGTTTACTCCATCTTCCAATCAAAGCTTCCACCTGTATTGATACAGGAGGACTAGCAGAGGGGTCGTAGTATTTTATATTTCAATTTAATAAATGTCTGAAAAATATTCATGACACAATATGGGGGTAATGAGGAAGACAGTAATACTAAAACAGTTACCATCAAACCACAGAATCAATTCTCCAATCATTTTTAAACAAAATGTACATATGAAATATCAGTGAACACTGATAACACTTTGGCTCACACAGCCAACATTTATTTGGAAACATAACGGTTTTAATATCTACAGAAATTAATATATGTATGGGCAATCCTACATGTGGTAATGTGGACATGAGTCAGGAAGTTAAAACAAACCTTTTAAAAAGGGGAAGTTGAAACGTTTATAATCCGGGGTGCAGAGTTGAAAAGTGAGCTTACCAGACCTGTGTAGCCTACTCCTCATCACTAGCATAGCATTCCCCAATTTCCAGCCAAACTGTCGGCAGGAGAGTTGCATTGTGGGTAATGTAGGTGTCTATTTAGACAAGGAAGAGAAATGCGAGAAATAAAAAAGACAATATCTCTGGTCCATTAAGAGAGCGACCATGTTTTCGGAAAGGTAATGCTAAATCGGAGGTGACCAAAGCTTGGTTACAGACACCATTTTGGATGACACTGCTAAACATAAAACACTTTTCATATCACAAAAAGCTATCAGACTAAGCTGAAGGATTGGCCACCTGGGAAGTGCCCTGTGAAAAAGGAAGCTAAGGGGTCTTCACATTCGCCCTGTCAGGCTCGCTGCTGCAAGTCGTACTCATCGTTTCTTTCTCAGAGAACTCTTCATTGTTGTTCTCCAAATTAACGTTTCCTGAGTTCTGCAGAGGTTTCCGAGCCCGAGCACCACGACTACCGTCCATAGGGCCATCACACGGTCGAGTTCAAGAAGTCCAGAAGTTCAGCTCGATTTTTATCTTGCTTCATTTCAACAACAAAAAAGTTTAAAATCAGTTCACAAACTATCAAGAAACACTCGATCGCTTACTTGACAGTGAAAAGTAGAGATTACCTGTTTGTCTTTCTTTGTCTTCTTTACTTTCATCTTGATCTTCTTCCCTGAAATCATGCTGTACTTGCCCTTTTTTTTGTCTTTCAAGTACTGAAAGGAAACGAAATGTAAGTTTAAGGGTACTAGATTACAAAAGTAATGACAAAACTACATAGCCTGTGAGAGCAAATGTCACTAGCTATAACAGGGTATAAGCAGGAATCCTGAAGTCAAATGTAATACCTGTTAAGACCTTTTTTAAGACCTCATCGCCACTTCGAGTTTCAACCGGTTACCTTGGCGACACACTTTACCTCACATTCACTATATACAGTATTGATTGTCCTTCCTCCTTATCTTCCAACCATTTGGACGCAAACTTGCATTTCCCCATAACGATGTTGTTTAACAACCGGCGTGCGATCCAACGGGATGCCATAAATAAACTCCACAGAATCACACTACACACCTACGCAATGATTACATTCAGGCACACTGTAGAATACAACCTCTTTGGACAATTGATATACTTCTTGAAGACAAGCTACAAAATGTAATACCTTGGAAAATGCCGTTTAATACTTTTTAAGACCCCGCGGACATCCTTGTCTAACCTCTGCCTTGATAAGGTTAGTTTTCTTGTGTTATTGTGGGACTTTGGTGGATCATCTAACTGTGTAAAGCACCAAAAGTCACACAATAACACAAAGAAACCAGAGCAGCAACTTATGTGTTATAGGATGTAAAATTACAAATGTTTTCAGTGGAGTTTGGTGGCTTTTACAGAGTCTTCAAGCGCTGTCTGACAGCAAGGAACTCTAAATGTTTGTCAGAGTATTACCTGCAGGAGATGCAGTTTGGAGAAACTGGGGTGTCAGCAGGAAGCTAAGCAATGTTCTTAAAGAGAATCAATATCAAGGCAAGGCCAAATTCAGAGTGCTTTACAAAACCATCAGAAGCATTAAGACCTAGTGCAAGAGAAATACATTTAAAATACAGTTCAAACAGTCGTAAAAGAGCTAAAACTATGCACATTTAAAACTGTTTTAATCATTTCAAGTGCATGTTGTATTTGGAATATTTTCATAGCTTAAAAGGTGGGAAATGTAATTTATTTCAGAAACACTTTTTGTTATATTCCATGGAATGCTCTTAACATCCCGATAGCAATGAATATATTAAATGCTTTGACAAAAAATACA